CCAACTAACACCACCACTACTGTGTAAAGCCCGACGTTCCGCTCTAGCGCCTGCTGGGTTTACATAAATTAAATTAATGTCACCGACTGAACAGTTTTGTCCTATTGTCGCTCTGGATCTATCCCCGAGCTTGGCTGGATGTAAACACTTGAGGGACGCTTTTGGCCTAAACGAGGTTGGACTCCCAGGGGGACTTGACTCGACCCCTCGTTTGTCATAATCGACCCGAGCAACTGTTTCCAGGATTTCATGTCTACTGAGAATTGTAAACGTGTCCCGACGTGTCCAAATGGGCCTTGAAAAAAATGTGTACGCAGAAACACAAAAAAGAAACAGAAAAACTCACATGTCATAAAAATACTAGGAACATACAAGAAATACAAGCGAAGCGTACACATAAATACACAAAATATCTCTCGTCCCCTTTTCCCCCGTCTTCGAAACGAGTGATCAAGAAAAGCCAAGAAAGTACCAAGGAAGTTTTCTAAAACGTGCCTCTTTTTACGGTGTAAACTTGACTGATTTCAAAGGTCGAACCTAGAGGGTTGCTGATATGAGGATAGTTCTCGCGTTGGATTTCTGTCTGTGTCGTTCACGTTTTCTCCTTGTTGCCTTATTCCACATCCTACCTGGAGGTCTCGCTCCAGCCGGAAGTAGACGCCGGGTGCGCGCTGGTCGACCTCGTCGGGCCGGATGGAGCCGATGCGGCACTTGCTGAAGAAGATGCCGATGAAGGCGGGGTCGGCCTTGTTGGGCCACTCTTTGACGGGGAAGCTGAGCGGGTACGTGTAGTGCTCCGGGGGGTCAGAGAACTCGAGGTAACCGTTGAGAGACAGCTGTGGGGAGAGCATGCGTTAGGATCAGCCGAAATGAAAACTAAGATTTATCTATCCACCCATGGATTTATTCACTGCCCCATACGCGGTACTGACCCTCGTGTAGTTGAATCGGAAGCCGAAGAAAGGCAGCTGGAAGTTGAGGTTCTTGTGCAGCTGCGACATCGACGAGTGCATGTCCTTCTGGAAGTCGCCGTGGCCGTCGTCGCCGCACTTGTCAAAGTACCAGTACATGAACTTGGAGCGGATCTTGGCCAGCTGGTCGGGCGTGAGCGTGAAGGCGCCCTGTGGGTTCTGCGAGGTGCTCTTGTACGACGGGGGGCCGCACTGACTGTTGGCCAGGTCGTCTGCGGTGCAAGAAATGTGAGTCAGTCATCCGACGGTAAAACACGACTCTGCACCTAAACAATAGAGCTAAAAAGGTGTTACCTAATTATTTAGCCATGTAGCTAAAAATGTATATACGCCATAAGAAAATTAGCTATCTAGCAAAAAATTTGGGTGTGGAGCTCAATAATTAGTTTTCCTTCATTAAGCTATTATTGGTGTAGCTGAAGATTTTTTTCGTGCATTATAGTACAGGGTATGCAGGGTAGACCGCGGTCCGGGTATAAGGAGAAATCTGTCCCACGAGACCCCCCCCCCCCCCACTAAATCCGAGGTAGCCGTGATTCACCCCCTGCCGTTCCGGCCGTCTCCTGTAATAGCGATCTCGATTACTCTGCCTGCCCCGTCTCCTTCCCGTCCGTCCGCTCTGCGTTCCTGAATCACCCTCTGATAAGCCCGGGTGTGGCGCGCGACGCGCTCCGCCTCGGCGGCGGGCGCGGCCGGCGCTGACGTCACGCGGGGCTGCCCGCCGGGCCTCGGGCCGGGCTGGGCGCGCCACCCCAGGGGGCCCAAAACGAGGGGCGTCCAACGGTTTTTTGTTGTTGCTTTTTTTTTTGCGGATGATACATTTATTTTCCCCTTAGGTGGGTCCCCTCCTCGCTGTCCGTTTTCCCGGACCCCGTCCCCGCCTGGACGCCCCAACGCCCCTCATGACGACCCTCAAGGGGGTCTGTTCTTTCCGCCTATCATCGTTTGGACGCAGACGCAGGGCACGGGCACGGGCCCGGCACGCTCTCGACATGAGGCCGTCGTCTATGATGTCGTTAGCAGCAACATGCAGTGCTTCCAGGAGCCCTACCAGCAGAGCTTTCAGCATCGCTTCCAGCTCGCTGCGCCGCTCAGCCGACGCTGTCCACCGGGGTTGGCACCGGCTCCGCTAGAAGCGCAGTTCATGCCTCCACGTCTCGACCTCGCCGGCCTTGAGGGCTCGCCACTCCCTGCCTCCCCCCTGCCGAGCGAGAGCGCCTATGGCGCAAGGGTTGGAGGTGGCCAGGCGGCCAGGCGGCCAGGCGGCCACCCGCCCACACGCGTCGTCAACAGGGTATGGGGACAACCGGACCGCCTCCGACGAAAAATTCTGCTCCGAACAAGATAGGGTACTCACCCACGTCGACCTGGCCGTAGGTGGTGCCGCCGCCGTTGTCGTAGCCGTCGTAACCCTCGACTCTGGCGCCCGTGTTGCCCCAGTAGTAGCGGTAGTCCAGCTCCTCGCGGTCGCGCTGCTTGCTGACGCGCAGCTGCCCCGAGCTGCCCGGCACCCTGGTGGTCTTGGCGCCGTTCAAGCCCATCACGGCGCCGAAGAAGCGGCCCTTCTCGTCGTTGCGCGTCGTCCCCGCCAAGGTGCCCATCCTGAGCGGGGCGGGCTTGCTGTTCTGGGCGGGGACCGCGGCGGCGAGCAGGGACTCGGCCTCGGACGCGGCGAGCGACGACGCCGACCTCGAGCCCGCGCCGAGGCCTGGGGAGGCGGGCACGGCCGGACCGTCCTTGTGCACCACCTTGCCGTCCTTGGCCGCCTGATCAGAGGCGCCGGCCGCCACCAGCAGCATCGCCACGAGCACAAGCGTCCGCACGAGGGGCGCCATCACCGGGCTGCTCCTCGTCACACCTCTCGTCACACTTGTCGCGGCCGTCACACGTCGGCCTCGCACATCCCCGCGCATGAATACGACGGCCTCCGACTCTTCTATATAATCACTCTTGCGACACTCTCGGCCCCTCTGGGGATGGGCGCGGCGGGGCGTGGCCGCTCGGCGGAGGTGGAGAGAGAGAGAACGAGATCCTGCGCGCGCGTGGGTCCTCGGAACGCGACGCACCTGTGCGCGGCCCGGCCGATATACTGTGTGGTATGTCCACCGATGCGCCTCGTAGGAGACACGGCGAGGCGGTGCGCGATAAGGGACTGATAAGAGCGCTGATAAGAGAGAGCTGGCCGCGCCCAGTGCGGCCCGGGCCTCGGCCGCGTGGGTGCGACGGAGACAGCAGCAGCGTGGCCGTCCCCCCCTCCCCCCTCCCCCATACCCCTTCCCTCCGGGGCCCGTCTTTTCACCTCGCGCGCTCGCTGCCGCTGCTCGTTATCACGCACCGGTTGCGTTATCTCATCTGCCAGCTACCCCCCTCCCCCTTCCTCCTCCCCCCGGCTACACAACTGTCCACAACACTCTCTACCGCTGACTGGAAGAGAATGTGCGTAATGTGCAATACTCGCCTCATGGCACGAGCGGCAGGGAGAGAGAGAGAGAGAGAGAGAGAGAGAGAGAGAGAGAGAGAGAGAGATGAGAGATAGGCGGTGGGAGGAGGAAAGTTTGTTTTGTGATGCTGCCCTAAATTTCCCATCTATAGGGAGGGATTAGCTCGAAAAGGGATGAGCTTGCACGCGCTCAGCTCGTCTGCTGTCTCACTCGCACTCGCCGTGGGCGCTCCGCTCGCAACGAGTGCGAGTGAGACAGCAGCAGACGAGCTGAGCTCGCGCGCCTCTGTTCGTATGGGAGAACTCCCCGAGGAACTCACCTCGTCTGATTCGGTGACTCGCCGCCCGACCGCCCTGAGTCACGAGGAGAGAGGAAGAGAGACGGAGAGAGAGATGGAATGCGAGCGAGAGAGGGAGAGCGAGCGAGAGAGAGCAAGCAGGACGTGACGCCGCGGGCGGCGGAAGCCGGGCGGTTCTGCGAAACGAACGCCTATTCCTGTTATAAAATATCCAAGGAGTGGGTGACTGTTGGAGCGAAAACTTGGCGAGCTGTCTCCACCAAAATGCAGTAATAACATCCGTCATTCGCAGGTTGCAAGTGCTCGGAGCGCCTGGCGGGTAGGCCGCATCTTGCCTGTAGTGCATGCAAGTGTTGCGGGGATGCCTATCCCGACTTTCGCAGGCGCTAAGCGCCCGGCAGTAGTAGCCGAATGAACGCACCTCGTGGACGATCCCTTACGCCTGACGGCGGCTGGCAGTCCTCCCCCTTTTGTCTGTCGCAGGCGCACGGTTACCATTGCCCTTTGCATCTTGCACCATAAGACTACACCTGTGACTAGCACTCGGGCCGACCTGGGCCGAACCCACTACACATTGGTCAGTTTCAGATGGGCAACCGGTCCGCATCCATCTTACTTGTAGCAACCCGTGTAAAAAGAGGGTTGGTGTAGGCAGAGGGCAGAGTTCCTGACAGGAAGACGGTTTCGATTCATCATTCAGGAAGACAAACACATTCTCTCCATGGGTGACGTCATCATTTATTTTCATGGAAGTGATGCGGAGGAAATTCCCCACAAAAACACCTTCCAAAACCAGCTCTCGTGAAAAGTCAATCGTTTTCGTCCTGAGAACGACTGGTTTTGCGGTTGTGGTTTGCGGTTTTGCACTCGATGCAGTGCAGGTGGTACTCGATAGGAAGGCCATATTTAGAGGGAATGACCCTCCTGATGGAACTGTAGTTATTTTGTCGAAAGTTTAAGATGCCACTCCTCGTGCCAGTCGTTCGTGAATATTGTTGTTTTACCGTCCGCAAAAGTCAGACAGATAGGAAAAAAAAAGAGGCAGTTTCACAAAACTAAAAGAACGGACAGGATCGCACCACCTCCAAATCAAACAAAGCAATTGGTTGTGGACCATACAAATAACGGCGTTGCCTCCGGCAGTTACACAAGCAGGTATGTTTTGCGAATAGCTTCATCATACGGCTAGGCCACGCCACGCCTCACTCGCGCATACCATCTATTCTGAGGTGTTTCGCCGTGAATAAGACCCGGCTCCGCCCGGCCCCGGCTCGAGCTCGAGGCACCCGAGCGTGTCGTCACTTCAGGAGGTCCGTGCGGCCCGCGCTAGATAACCAACGAACAGCCCGATGTAGGGCGCCGCGGGATTCACTCTTTGGCCGTGCGATCACACGCGTGAGCGTTCGGCAGACATGCCCCCTGCCTTCCTCTTTGTCGTCGCTGAATATTATTTCCACCGTCTCTACCAAAGCGATGTGTGGCCGCAAGCCGCGTGGGCAGTTCTCCGAGGAGGACCCGTCCCCTCCCCATCCCCCTTTCGCCTCTCGCTTTATTCTCACCTTTTCCTGTTCGGACGGTGGTGGTTCGTGGCGAGTCGGAGGATCGTGGTGCCTGGCTGGGAGGTGGTAAAGCAGCCTAGGTGCGTCGAGTGCCGAAAAAAAAACAACAACATAAAACACTTTGTTTTGCTTGAGAACGCCAGGATGAATGCCGGCGTAGTGAAGGCTCTTGTGGCCCTACCCCGCGCACCCAAGAGCGTCGTAGACACGGGATAGCGCCGTAGGGTCGAGGGGGGGGGGGTGCTGTACGACCCCCTCAGCAGGGGGGTGGTTGTTTGGAGCGGCTCAAGCTGGACTGAAAACAGACGAGCCCGAGGGGGAAACGACTGTTAAACTTCGTGTCAGCCGGATTACGTATAACCCGGATTACGTTGCATTTTCGCTCGGATTACCCTGGATTACCCTAAAATTTCCTCGGATTACCCCTAGATTTCCCCCGGATTACTTCGAATTTCCATGGATTACACCTGCCGGATTACCTAATGGCTGTCAGCTGGATTACCTTAGTCGTTTCCCCCTCGGACGAGCCGCTTTGCCAGGCGGCTGGTCTCGCTGTCAGCGGGGGTGAAGTTGCTTCAAGTCGATCGGGGATGGTTGAGATGTGGTTAAGAGATTTAAAATGATGATCGGCGCCTGCGGAGCTGCGACTGAATGATGACACGGGTCGGAATGAGAGCCGGTTGACTCCTGTGACTCGACTCGGACGAGGTTGGTTTTTCTCAGGCCAGCCACGTTTGTGTGCGAAATAAAACCCCTCGTTTCACTATTTCTTTTTTTCTTAGATTTTTAACGGAGGCGTCGCGGTGACGTCAGTGCCGTGTTAATCAGAGATCGCAGGTTTGAAGGCTCTCAGCTTGTTTGTTTCTCGTCACTCTCCGTTACTCGCACGCTATGAGTATTACGCGGTACGCAACGAGTCTTAGCTACAATTAATGTAGCTACAAAAAGGGATGTGGCGCTTTGCGGCACATCCTTGTTTGTAGCCACACGATTTTAGTATGCCGCTGAAAATATTCCTCTGTATCGTCCCGTCGTGGCCAAGTCGGTAGCGGTATGAACTTGGTCGCTGCTTCGAATCTCGGCCGGGTGATAATTTTCGCGCTCCGCTGGCCATGACTTTAAAGCCGTGCGACCACCTGATGTGATGGGCCGGTACGCAAACAGTCGCTGGTTCGAATCTAGTCGACTAAACCCTTTTGCCCCTCTGCCAGCTATGTTTCGGGGTGAGAGCCACACCGGAGATAAGCTTCCCCCATGAAAAATCGTCATCAGTGGCTCAGTTGGTAGAGCGCGCGCCGAGGCGCGCGCCCGGGACGCGGATGGTTGTCGGTTCGAATACTGACCGAGGTTCATTTTTTCCTATTTAGTAGTTTGCGGCGCGGGGACCAAGGGTTAAGACAAAATACCAGCCGACATGGGGAGGTGGACTTGACCGCCTGCCTACTCAGCAGCCGCACCCCCCCCCCCTTGTCAAAAAAACAACAAGAAAGTATTCGCCCCGACCAGGACTCGATCCCTGGGCTGAGAGTATCTTATGCACCAAGACCTAGAGCGCTCGCCACTCGGCTGTCGGCTCCATTTGTCAACGCGAAGGTCAGAACTCCGTCACGTGCTTCACGAGTCTTGGTCTCCCGGATTTCACGCGTTCAGGTCGGGTCAAGTCCACCTCCTCGACGCGCTGCAGCCCGGGTCGACTCCTGGCCAGAAACAAGGAAAGTGGCCACTATAAGAGCCCCTTGGGCGCGCGAGGGTTAGGTTAGGTCCATTTATGTTACTTGTTTCGTGTTTTTGGCCAGAATTCGACCCGGGCTGCAGCGCGTCGAGGAGGTGGACTTGACCCGATCTGAACGCGTGCAATACGGGAGACCAAAGACCCGTAAATCCGGACCGAGTGCTGACCGCTACGTGGTGGAGAGCAGCTGACAGCCGAGTGGCGAGCGCGCTGGTGTGTGGTCCGGACACCGTCGGCCTGGGGATCGAATCCCAATAATTTAATTAAGTATTTCTTTTAAGAAAATTGACACTCCTGACACAACGTGGGTGTGAATCCGACTAGGTCTGCAGCGAGGTAAGGAGGTCGACTTCACCACCTACTCAGCAGGTCCAGAAAAAAAGTTCACCCCCAACAGGATTCGATCCTCGGGCCGACGGTTTCCGGACCCTACACCCCAGAGCGCTCGCCACTCGGCTGTCGGCTCCACTTGTCAGCGCAAGGTTCAGAACGCTGTCCTGATTTACAAGTCTTGGTCTCCGGTACTGCACGCGTGCAGGTCGGGACAAGTCCACCTCCTCGACGCGCTGCAGCCCGGGTCGGCTCCCGGCCCGAAACA